ACCCATCAACTGCTCTGAGTGGGTGCATCCAATGGTAAGTGGCCTGAAAAATGAGGGCACTGTAAGGATATGCAACGATTTGCAAGGGCTAAAAGAGCAGATCATCGTAGATCGATTCGTGTTGCCATCCAACAAAGAACTCACTGTACCTTTAGCTGGTGCAACGGTTTTTTACAGGCTAGATTTGAAAAGTGCATTTTTCCATATGTCATTGGCCAACGATTCGAATCATCTTACTGTCTTCAATATATTGGAATATGTTTGGAACCGACTGTGATTTCATGATTTCAGAAGGTTTTGTATACAAATCGGTTTTGGTAGGGTTTTATTGTGGCCACAATAAAACCCTACCAAAACCGATTTGTATACAAAACCTTCTGAAATCTTACTGCCTTCCTTGATCCCGATGGGTTATTTCAGTACAAATTGTTGCCAATGGGTTTGAGCTCAGCGCCTGCTGCATGGCAAAAGTTTATGACTCACGCCTTGGAACATATTGTGGGGTAGGTTGCATACATGGATGAAATCTGTGTTTTCGGGCACTCACAAGAAGAACATGATGAAAGGCTACACAAAGTCCTTCGGCGTCTCAGTGAGCTCGATTTAGGTCTGAATGCAAGGGATGTCTCTTCAATGTCCCCGGGATTAAATTAACGGAACCCATCATATCGCGTGGCGGCATTCGCCCAAGCAACGAAAACATCCGGGCCATCACAGAAGCACCAACACATAAGAACGTGACAAGAACTGGAGTCTATTTTGGGAACATGTTCCTACAATCTGCGCTACATACAAAATTTTGCAAACCTAGCGGATCCATTAAGACAACTAACGAAACCAGGAGCGTCGTTCACTTGGGGAAGCGATCAGCAAAATGCTTTCGATGAAGTGAAAAGAAGGGTTGCATCTACTCCCTTAGTTGCATTTTTTGACGAATCATGTCATACTGTTGTGTCGACCAATGCGTCTGATCTCGGTCTCGGTGTTGTTCTGTCACAGCTACAAAACGGAGCGGAGAGTTACTGCTTACGCATCCTGGAAACCATCAGATTCTGAGCGCCATTACTCAGTTGAAGAGAAAGAAGCTCTTGCTTGTATGTGGGCTTTCGAAACGTGGCAGTATTTTTGTTCGGTCTTCGTTTCACTCTACGAACTGATCACTCCGCCCTTACAGTCCTCCTTAGCAACGGACCTAAAGGGTGGCGCCCAATGAGGATCGATTGTTGGTATGCTAGAGTTCTTACCTAGGGTTTTCAAATTGTTTACCGGCCGGGTTCGCAAAACCTGATTGCTGATGGAGTATCTCGCTTACCCGTGGGGCTGGGAGATGACAAGGAGATTTAGAGAGGCAGTATCACTTTCCAGCCTTGGCTCCAACATAACAGCGTTGACCATCGATGAATAAGGAAGGGAAAATGCCAACCACCCATTACTACATCAACTCAGCGAGTGTGTGCAACAGAGATGGCCTAAAAACAACGAAGTCCCCGGTGAGTTCCATTCCATATTACGCAATTCGGGATGAATAGTCAGTGATAGATGGTTGTCTGATGGGTGGTTCGGTGTTTATAGTTCCATGTCAGTTGGTAAACAAAATAATTGCTTGTGCACATGAGGGACACCCAGCTTTCGTTCGGACCAAAAATCGTGCGAAACTCCACTTTTTGTTGTATCTGGCATTGAGACTCTTTATGAGGAACTGTAACGTTTGTCACCTAGCGGACAAAATTCCTCTGCCGGTCGAAGCCCCAATACAGATTATTGCTTACCCGAGGAAGCCGTGGGCTAAGATCGCCATTTATATTATTGGTCCTTTAGCCGCCGGTCCTACGAATAAGAGAACTCTACATGTAGCTACAGGTTTTTACAGTAAGTAGCCTGAAGTCCACATGTGCGACCAAGTGATTACTTCGATTGTGTTACGCTGGCTTAAACGCTTGTTCAGTCGTTTCGAACTACCGGAAGAAATAGTGGTGGACAATGGACCACAGTTTCGTAGCCACGAGTACGCACTTTACCTCCTTCCAGAACTGCATCTTACAATCCTGTGACCAAAGACCTAGTCGAGCGGCTAAACCGATCCCTCAAGGAAGCCATACAGGCCATCAAATTAGGAAAGAAGCTGTCGTAGCTGCTGTATTTTCTGACAGAACTTGTGATCACAAGGATACCGGAAGAACGACCGGCAGAGCTGATTTTAGGAAGGCCCTTATGCACGGAACAAACTACTGCACATAACTTGTCATCTGCGGGACGTGCCGAGGTTTCAAATCGCATAGCACTTTACCAAAATTCTTACGTCAGATCGTCAACTCTTATGCATCCTAGAGCATATATCGCATTAAAAAACGGGCTACGCTTAAAGGCCTCCCAGCTCTATCAGAACGGTTGTAGATCACACAAAGACTAGGCTCAGGGAGCTACCGATTACAAAACGACCTAACTTCTAATGCACGTCGATTGCACACAGCCCATGGACCAGCTATCCATCCTCAACAAACTATGTGTGAACACCAGGCCGAATCGCCGCAACCGCGAAGTCAGCTTCACCGGTTAAACAGGTCTCCGAAGCCTGTCGATCGATAGCAGTCCGCGTGACGTGAGTACAGATACACATACTAATGTTTTCTGTTGCGTACTTGATACAACGGACACCAAGCGACGGCGGCAACACTTGGAGCAACATTGAGCGGCCACTTAAGGTTCAGTGAAGCAACAGATACAAAAATCACAATATCGCGCCCATCTGATCTCAAGTGCATCATCGCGAGATATGGCACCAACACCTATGATTTGCATCAGTCCGTTACGAGCTAAGAAGTCAAACTGTAGAATTAATCGCATGGAATGCTATTATCTTGTGGCTCGAACCATTTGGTTGATGACCATAGGTAGAGAAAACTTACGGCCATAAACAAGCAGTTGGAGAGAAGCATTCAACCACCAAAAAAGGTAAATAACTTTACTTATCCCACCATTTATGCTCTTCTTAAGTTTTCCAAGACATCCAGACCTCCGAGTTAAACCGTACTTACAGCGTTGCATGTCACATGGGGTTTTCAAAGTTCGCGTGGTACCAGGTTAGCCAACGGATAAATCCAGCTTTACTCCGCACTTTTCTTGAAGAAGTTGTGTTAGGTCTCCAAAATACGCACGCAAGATTTCTGTGTCATGACAACAGCTCAAATAGTCGGTTCGCATTCAAATGACTAAGGGGGTTCATGGTGTCGGCATCAGACTCAGCAAACAGGCCTGATACAACATACTCGAATAAATCACACCGAACGGTCGCATTGCTGAGAACCCAACGGGCGCAAACAGGTTGCATACTGCGAGAACGCGAGTCCATATGGTAGAAGAGACTTGACATACCACAGTCGTGCTCATTTGTATGCTTCATTCATGCTGAGGCTCAGTCTCTCCTTCTGTGTGTCTTAATCCGCCGTGTATCAGTGGTAGTTAGGTACGCACGATACGCCATGCATCCTTACTGACTCAATGATTCCCCTAATCGTAGCACATATGTCCGTCCTCCCCCTAATACTTATCGGTAGTGTACCGAAGCGTGCTTATGCAACCGGACTCAGGACATCCATCAGAGTTAACTGTCAGAGTCCAAAGATAACATTTGTTGCTGTTGTTTCAGTTCGAGTTGCAGCCGACCCCAATAAAAGAACGTCAAACAAGAACTCCATCGGTCGTCCCCATGTTTTAATAAAGCGAACGCGCACTGTGCGAAAATCGCTGAGACCTGATTGCACATTCCACCACAAACCACCCACTTAAGCATTTAATTATCCTCATTGTTAACCCAGATTAAGTGACCTTTATCAGTGACCAAACGATGATAGCGAAGAAGTAGCAGGAAGATGCCGAAAATACTTGATCAGGCTGGTGCATGCTTCTTCTCTAAACGTGACCCAAAAGATAAACCACTCAAACGGGAAGAGGTGCCTCCCGAAATGACGCAACCATGATGCCAGTGGCACTTATGCAGGTGACCCGTTACCTTAGCAAATAACAATGCCACCTCCGTTTACTCTTCAATGAATTTTCCGTACATACATTCGCTCATTATGCAACCAATGTCCCCTTCATTTGTGGTGGAGATGTAGAGTACACTGAAAAAGTCTACAGTACCCAGATCACGTTTAAGCAACGCAAACTAAATGAAAGAGGTGCGTCCCGGATTTAATTTGTGAGATGCAACTAGACTGAAGCAGAAACTGACAAAAAGCCTAAAAGAATTTACAGTTCCAGAATAATGAATGGTAAATATTACGATACATATCCCATGTGAAACAGCTGATCGGGCTAGTAAAAGTGATAAAGTAGAAAACAACACCGAAACGAACCTTCGGAAAAATTGGGAAACAGCAGCAACCTTAAGGCTGAAAATACGCTAAAAACATCGGAGCAAATTATTTCTAGCACTGCATGCCAGCGCGGATCTGAATAACCACAGGTTGCATACGCCTACAGCGAACCACACGTGTCTTGAGTCGCACTAACCAGAAATCAAAACACGACATAGAGGACGGAGACTGATAAATGTACAGCCGCCCATGAAACTTTGACACGGAGCTCACATGCGTAGGCGAGTCAGCTTCATCACATCATAACGGTACACCATGGGAGTGTGGATTAATTGCTCATAATAAAGTCACGTGCGCGGTTTATGTATATTTCCCAGACTCATGCTAACTACTTACCAGCTGGTCAACTATTGTATGTAGACTGGGAGTTTGCATGTAAGAGATAGTGAGGACTGTCAGTAAGCGTTGTCATAAGTGTTGAATACTAAAAACATGTTTGGAGCAACCGAAATTTACCGCGCGTAATGATGCACGTAAATTTCCTCAATACCGGGGAAGTGCTGAAATCTGAGAGACATTAAAAATTGCTCGCAGTGTGACAAGCGAATGGCATAAACAGGATTCACGAGTATTATTGTAAGCAACGAGGTCGATAGACAGAGAGGCATACGAAGAAAAGCTTACTGTAGTCCAGGCAAGCCAAGGAAGTTGCCCATGTCAGTGAGTGTGAAATTGATATACTAAAGAAGAAAAAGGACAAATTCAATCGGGTATCATTGAATGAAAAGATAGTGGGCTACCCAAAATTTTGCACAAGTACGGACAAAATTGAACACCAAACGACTTTATCTAGTCTGTGGATGACGGCAGATACCATAGTACAAACTCGAGAATAAAAAGAATCGTGCAATGAGTGAATGTCAACATGGGGTAACCAGTACCGTATCAAATTTTTAGTGATTAAGCTGCTAGGCTACAGAATGTTTAGTGTCAGCTTATACGCCGTAACGGCGCTTCGCTGCCGCGCGACCACCAGCAGTCGCGCGCGGGCTGAGTATACCGCGAGGACGCCCACCCCTAGTAGTAAGGTACGATGGTAGTAAGGTACGATGGACCAGACCAAAAGACACAATTATCAAAATTGAGATGCTAAGCCCAAATAAATTGGAGGGAAGAGGAACAAAGATGGTCAGAAAAGGATTCAGTGATACAGTAGTTCCGTTGACGAACTGAAAGACGGTATCACGCAGTGCATATAGCACCGAATTGGATTACAAAGTTTTTTAAACCCTTCACAGATAACTGTTTACATTTCCCGTCTAGATGCTCGAAGACAAAAAGTGGCGATTGCGTGGTAAATGTAATCAGCTGAACCACCCTATCCCTATGCCGGAAATCATTGGTGATCAACTTTACAGTCATCTCGTATGCTATTTATGAACGATTCAACCAGGCGTGGATTAATAAACTATTTCTACTCTATTTTTACCAAAATATGTACCGCGGAAGCGAAATTAACCAAACGGGTGGATGAAGAAGATGCGGCATTTGAAAGATATGTATCGATAATCGTGTCGACTCTGATAACTGAGCTATCAACTGAATCAGAAAATTAATAAACGCTAACGAAGGAATATTTCAAATGAATGACGTGCCTTCAACAATGGTATCGGAAAGCTATAGTGGCTGGCCCGAGCCACGAATGGGGAGAGTGAGATGGTGGACAATATTCCAGAAAACACCTAATCTTACCGAATGGAACCATAATCATTTGTTGGTAGGAAGGTTAAAAATATGCGCTAAGCTGAGCCAATTTGTGAGTCTCACGTAAACATACGAAACGAAGCTGCAGGTAGATTGAGAATAATAAGAAAGTTTTCGGTACCATCGATTAACCAGTGGTGTGAAGTCCGATTCGTTGGATGCAATCGCAAACAGAGTAATCAGAAGGCACAGACTGTGCGATGACAGTCTTTTTGTAAAAGCCAATCAGTCACAATCATGCAAAGTTAGAGATATATGAAACGCCGGTATATGAGATCAGTAGCTAGCCAATCGGTGGCCAATCGCTGCGCCTCGCACTGAAAGAGTAAGTTTGGATTTACAGTCAGCTGTATATACCCACAAAGCAATGGACGTTCTCGATCGAGGACAATAGCTCCCAATAGCAAGAGAAAGTGGGACGCTGATAGCGCATCAAGGCGGCGAATGACTTATTAGAATTGCCTCAGTGGTTGGTGCGCAGCAAGTGCTCTATGACTGCCGGGGCAACTAGGTTACTCAATTCACCCGATTCCACCGACATCGATCACATCCGGCGGCGCAACCACTTAGGAATACGTTTATTGAATTGGACATCTACACCTCGGTTAGTGCGCCAGACAAAGCTGCATCCGCAGCTACAACTGAATTTTTATAAGCAAAGGGACATGCACTGTCTCGTTATCGGTCTCTTGATGGAACGCATAAAGAGATCTTGTTGACGTAAGCAACCGTAGTTCAACTGCATTGTGGGCTCTTTCCACTGAAGTACCAAAACGTCTCGCGGTAATTTTTATAAAATGTGTATCTTTAAATAGTAGTTTGATAAAATCGGCTTCCTGTGAACTGTTGTTGTACGATCTTGCTTGGCTATGTCACCCAGGCATTTTATAAAATTTAACATATAACCGTTCGATCGCAGTGTCTCGAACAGCAAGTCTTCCTATGTTTTTAATGCATCCGGGGTGCAGATCATGGGGGCTCGATAAAAAAGCGCCCGAACGAGCGAGCGTTTGTAGTACAACGATGAAAAATTCTTAAAATGCGAATACTGACTGTCGCCGTGTGGATACAATTTGGTTAAGTCGACAGCCGTTGGCAGTACTGCGAACTGTGAAGAAAACGCCAAACTAGTGTGAGTGAACAATGCGAGGAAAGAACCTAACGGATTTTTTCACTAGATGCAGCAGGCGTAATCGTTCGAGCACGTGGCTCCGCTGGCTGGTGGGCGCTCGGTAGAGCTACTAAGGGCTATCTAGTTGTTTGCTTGATTAACACCATGGAAAATACTCATGTATTCAAAAAAGTCGTTATTAATAAAGACGGGCCAACAGTATAAAGCATGATGTTGTTTTGACTTATTTGCCCATGTTATATAAGTCGCTTGTTCCTGAAAATCGAATTTTGTGACTATCAACTCCAGAAAAGCTTATCATTGTTATCGCATCAGTGTCCTCTCTCGTAAGGCGGAATTCCGTGATAACGCTAGAAACAATGTACAAGAAAATCGAGATCTAGTAATGAGCTTGGAACCGATCAAAAATGTGGGAGAGTGACTGCTCGCATGACAGGTGACACCCGATTGTAGATCTAGAAATTTCAAGGATATATTCCGCAGGATGGTGCTTTGACTATACAAATAGCATCTGATGCGTACCACATGCTTCGTCGGATCGATGGTAAACCGGAAGTCGCGCAAGATGCATACCCAGGAAGTGTGTCCATCTGCAATTCTTGAGAAACCAGCTGAGACAGGCAAACCCATAATCATTAATGGGTGAATATTCCGGTGAAATTCGCCGAGTAGTTCGGTTAAGATTCGTGCACCTATTTGGTATTAACGTCAAATGTAGTTTCCGAGAAGGGAATAAAAATACGTAAACATGCCGGGTAGGATAAAAAAATGAAGCGTCCCAGACTTTCACCGTTTTCGGGTATGGCATATAATGACAAATGTATCCAATAATATTGAGCCCAAAATGGTAAGAGAACAACATACAGAAACGGGAACGGAGAGGTGGAAATAACAAAACACTCACCAAACTCACAAAAAAAGTTAGCCCCCAAAAGCAGATAAAACACAGTGAAGTGTTAAGCCAAGAAACACTAAGGTATTCAGTGAAAACCGTACAACTGGGTAAAAAATGCAGCAGAACTAGGGGTAAGCATGATTGATGACCTGAATTGATAAGCCCTCGGTTCCAGCTTAGCACCGAGAGTACATTAAGGAAAACCGGTACAGAGGCACATGGTTAGTAGGATAAGGTGTAAGTCACTATAGAACCTGAAAGCTATGCTCCCGTCGAAAGGACTTATTCGACAATAGGACGGACGGCAACTGACGGGCTACGAAATGTGATGATTAGAGGGGCCGGATAAGAACGCCTGTAGTAACGGATATCAATGGTACTCATGAGTATATGAACTTTTATATACTGCAAGTGATCGGAACCAAACATAAGACAGACCCTCGCCGCGTCACCCAGAGGTTAAGTGCAATCTCCGCAGCCACACATATGTCCAAATATGGGCAAAATCTCGTTGGTAAGCACCAGTGATTTTAGGTAGCAGCTGCTACATGCTGTGAAACGAGATTTACATGACAATTGTAAGGGCATATCGCAGTGATCACGACAAATGAGCAGTCGACAAACATGATCGGTAGAACAAGCATCAATGTCAATTACAGCGAAGCAGCATTATCTGTTGGATACCAGTTTCTATGGACAGAAGCTAACGGAGGCGAGTTCAGAGTAATAAATGGGGAAGTCCGTCTTATAGACTGATTAAAGGTATGGGAATTGCAAATGGTGGTTGTAACGAAGGTGGAATTTGGTTGGGAAAATATGTAGGGCTAGAGGATAGGCCATAGGATAGCCGTTAGCTCATATCAGGCGTGGAACTGGCAAATAATCTATATATAGATGTAGACACATAAGCTCACTAACTGAGATTACAAGCAAACCACAGCTAAAAAGAGTGAAATTGTTTAGACACAGCTTTGCGACCTTCGACGTCCCAGTGTCCTACTAAGTGAGACATCGGCCCCCGAATCAGAAGATCGTGGGTTCGGGTCCTTACCAGGATGATAACTTGTTGGCAAAGACCGTCGCCAGCAGTTCGAGATGCTGCGCGATAGGGGAGTGTGAGATACAAAAGAAGCGCCATGTGAGGGACCGATATGTGCTTGGGCAGAACGAGATGACCGCTCTCACCAGGTATAAGAAATTACATGAAGTAACGAGCGAGAAAAGATGGCAAAGCCATCAAACGGTTTGACGGTCATTGACCTAGTAAGTTAGTACAATAGGAATGGCCGCTGCCCTCGGTAACCATTGAAGTTATTCCGTTGGATACGGAAAACTGGCAGCAGGAGACTTGATGTTAGTGAAACTGTATGTCATGAGAGTGCACAACCTATCCACAACTTGCAAAACGCTTGGAGTGTTGGGCTGAGCAGTTTGAAAGGCATATAATCGGCCGGAATTGTCAGATTTCTCGCCGGCCAGTGATCGCTCTGCTTCTTGGGCTGTCCCTTTGGATCCGCGCTCTCGATCAGAAGTCGAATGTGAGGTCAGACTGCTGAAGTTGAATAAAGCCGCAGGATAAGATGATCTTCCTCTAGCCCTCTTCAAATTCGGCGGCCTTGCTCCTCTGCATGATTTACACGAGTTACTAATGAAACTGTCCCAACCGACCGGAGCCGCTACATCATAGTCCCAACATTCAAGGGTGGCTCACGATCGCAAGTTGGCAGCCATAGAGGAATCAGTATGATCTCCATCGCCTCCAAATTGCTGACCTCTGTCATCTTTAACAGTCTGAATGGCGCTCGTGAAAGTCAGATTCCTGGAGAGCAAGTCGGGTTTCGTCGAGTTCGGGGCTGCATCCGTCACGTATTCACTTTGCGTAAATCGTTGGAGTACTGTCACACATATTGGCGGCCCACCGTTGTCGTGTTCCCTGACATTAAAGATGC